TCTCTCTCTCTCTCTTTCTCACCGAAAGTTATTTAATTGTAAATCCCATTCGCGTGCGTCAGTCTTTCGGCCCGACAAAGACTGTAGTAATTTTTATTAATAAAATCTATTAAATTTATTCGCCGATTTCGTCATATGATTTTTCCTAGTAGTTTAAACAATTGAAAAAGGCTTAGGTTTTAATCCGATCATAGCTAGGGGATTAGGTGGATTAGGAACAAAGTCGATTACACTTAAAACTCATCGTGTGTCACAAGGCACGTGACTTAAGGTGAGTTCAACTCTGCTTGATCGAAGACAACTAAGTTAAGTCGGCTGACGTTAAGGCGAATACACGTATTAACATACGTGTTAACGGAGCGGCGATTTGCTCTGCATCGTGGGAGTTTGCTCTTAAATAAATTTCTCATTTTGCAGCTTTATCCCCCCGTTACACTGTATAACGACATATCTGCATACTATAACTAAATAAAATAACTTCAGAATATAAATTATATGAAAATATTTGTAGGAAATCAATACGAACGGTGAACACAAATCAACTTCAGATGTTTAACGAAAAAAGAAAAAGAAACGCAGTCCAAAAAATTCAAGAGATATTAAAGAAAATTTATCAGGCAATAATTTAAGGCACGACTGAACCGATGTTACGTTTCCAATATGTTTTCAATTATATACACATTTTTGTATAAGTCACAAACTTTGTCGATACACGCTTACCGTACGCGTAGAATTAATCATTATTATTTTTCAAATTTTTTTTTCTTAACAACCAAACTTATTTTATACGATAAAATAATTATTATTATTTTATATGATATTTATTCCGTTTATAACAATGCATATGTAGATTCAGTTATTATTTTGTTTTTTAATAGAGAGAGAGGAAGAGAGAGAGAGAGAAAAAGTTGCGTAAGCGCAACATTTCGTTTGCTCTCTGCTGATATCCGCTAATCAGAAATTGAGAATTTATTCCAAGAGAAAATAAGTTATTCCGCCCTGAAGTGAACGCTAAACGATAATACTTACTTCGATACAAATCGTGATCTTCGCACTTTATTATTTAGATGTTATAACGAGCGGCCAGACCCTCGTTATGTCTCTCTCTTCTCACACATAATTATAATTATTTTTTTATATATATTTGTCATATAATTATTTCACATGTGTTTGCTTGAAATATGACTATATGTTCTTTCTTGTACTCATAATAACGGTTTCTTATTATTCAGATTCAAAAAACCAATTAAAATGCAACTATAATTGATTCTACTTGCGCAGTATACGAAGTCTGTCCGGAAAGTATCGGGCCTACGTTTATATCTTCACGCCTGTAGGGTAAGCGATGTCCTATCTCTCTCGGGAGAGGAGGGGGACAGAGAGCGCCGCAGCGGCGAACGAGAGAACGTCGGGCACTGCCTCACGGACCGTCATGATGTCAGGACATGTATTTTGGTCAATAAATATAGTTATTATCACACGGACATCCATTCATTCCCTGGAACACATATACACATACATATATAGGAAGTAGGCCTGCCAAGGAGCCTCAGCCTACACGCCATAGTGTTCGAGCGACCTCTACCGGACAGAAACGCCAACAGTAAAGCCTCACGAATCTATTGGTTACTTACTGACACCTGCCGGACGTATAGTTCATGCGCAGCGTGTTTTTGTTTACAGTGCCTTTTTCGCGTTCGTCGGATTTTGATATTGTCAAAAATGACTGAAAAACAAGATCAACGCATTTGCATCAAATTTTGCTTTCAACTCGGAAAAACGAGTTTAGAAACTATTGAAATGATGCAAAAGGCCTTCGGAAGCGAGTGTATGAGCAAAACACGAATAAAAGAGTGGTATAAACGGTTCAAGGATGGTCGCACTTCTGTCGATAGTGATTCTCGTTCCGGCCGACCTTCGACGACAAAAAACGCAAATAATATTGAGCGGGTGCGACTTGCAATCGAACATGATCGTCGTATGACTGTGCAAGAACTAGAAGAAGACCTTGGGATACCAAAAACTATCATTTCAGAAATTTTAACCGAAAATTTAGGAATGAAACGCGTGTGTGCGAAATTCATCCCAAAATTGCTCACAGCAGAGCAGAAGAACATTCGCTTAGAAATTGCTCTGGACAATCTGGAAATGGTCAATAATGATGATAATGTGCTTAGAAAAGTTATTACAGGTGATGAATCATGGGTTATGATCCTGAAACAAAACAACAATCTTCACAGTGGAAGCATTCTGAATCGCCAAAACCAAAAAAAGCACGTCAAAGTCGGAGCAATGTTAAGTCAATGTTGATTGTTTTTTTCGATTGTGAAGGTGTTGTACATCACGAATATGCACCAATAGGTCAGACAATCAATAATTCTTTATTATTTAGAATACTACGTTCAAATTTTGAAACGTTTGCGTGATGCAGTAAGAAGAAAACGGCCGCACTTTTGGGAAAGTGGAGACTGGCTTCTCCATCATGATAATGCGCCAGCGCATTGAGCCAATCTTTTGCAGCAGCTTTTGAGCAAACACAATATCGCATTGCTTCGACAACCTCCATACAGTCCCGGCATAGCCCCTTGTGACTTTTGGCTGTTTCCAAAACTAAAAAAACCACTTAAAGGACACCGATTCGATGACAAAACAACGGTTGAAAACAATGCGACGAGTGTACTTAAGGCTATCCCTAAAAGTGAGTTCCAGGACTGTTTTGAAAAGTGGAAACATCGATGGAACCGTGTTATTCAATCAAGTAGGGATTACTTTGAAGGATGCCACCTACTAGATGATAAAGAATAACGCTAGCACGAAAATATAAAGGTAGGCCCGATACTTTCCGGACAGACCTCGTATGTACATTGACAACTTTTTAGTTTTTATAAAATTACAAAAAAAATGTTGTTTTCGTTTCTTTTCGTACCTCATTGAAATTTGATCTTAACAGTTTGCCTTATTCATATATTGTTACTATACGAAATGGAGGCTTACAAGATAAAATGTTATTAAAAATTGATGAGTACGGTGAGTTTTAAAAGTAATTTTTTTTTTAATTAAATAAAACATATTTATCAATAGAATTAATGTCAATAAAACAGTAACACCGTAAAAAGTCAACGGATTTGTGTATAATTACATTTGACCTATCAAACTAAATCGTTTAACAGTAGTTTTTTTTTATTTTCACATTCCGTGTACGAAGAACTCATTTTACTCACGCTGATGAAAATGCCATGTGTATAAATCGAGCGTTTCACATTTTGTGTCGAAAAATATGGTTCGATACTATTGCGAGAAAGTGATTTTCTTCTTGTATAGCCTCTTTGCATCTAAATGTCTGTAACGCACATGAGGAGAAAATCATTTTTTCATAATCGTACCAAAATATGCTATTGAATATATGTCACCTATTTTCTTTCGAAAATTTTTGTTTAACTTTTTTTTAATTTTTCAAAAAGACAATATTGTAGTATATTTACATTCAAGCGCTGTCTACCTATTTTGTATTTGTTAAATGATTATTAATAAATATAATATTTAATTTTTTCTAGCTAGTAGAAACATTCAAGTATTTTCTTTGAACGACCTTAGAGACGTTGCAGTAGGGCATCTCGATAAAGGAAACAATAAGGTAAATTTTAATAAAACATGTAAATTTCGTGAAAGAGTTCTCATAAATGTTTCTTTTGTTTTTGAAATTGTGGTACAATGTATTTTTAAATCATTTTAGATGTATTGCGGATATGACGTATATATACCTCAAAGTGTTTACCACAAAGTCTGTTTAATCTGTACGATTAATTAATTGCAATAAAGGAGAGAGGCAAGGGTAAGTTAATTGAAGCAGGTGGATGTGTGAAGTTGTAAATAATGATTATTTTAATAAAAGAAAGATACAGAGAGATGACACTTTAGCCGGCATAAAAAACCCCAGTCGTGAGTGGGGGAAAAGCCATTTAAAACTGCCACTCGTATAATGGATTTATACATATAAAAGAAGCAACTATTTATTGCGCTAATTACATATGGCTCGCGTAGCTTTTAAACAACTAAACGCGAAACTTACATGAATGGCCATTCACTAGATTAAACACTGACCGAGCGATGCCGCATACATGACTCGTGCAAGAAGGAAGACGTCTCCTGGAGAAGCGTAGTGCCAACGTCTTGGTCACGGGCACGGCCCGCACTACGCGACTCCTAGTTTTCGAGGTGGGCCGAGTGCCGCTGATCGGGCTGCCCTGAGTTCGAAGACGTCTCAGAGAGTACCGCACGTACTCTCAACTAGGCCGATGGTTGCCGTAGCCCCTTTTGATGCGGTCGCTGGCAGAAGGGAGAGAAAGATACACACAGGTACCCGCATACAGTCGCTCAAAGCAACGCAATAATAACACTTATACACTAAGGCGCGCGGTATACAACACTATAGAATAATGAAACGCACTCAACGATAGGAACTAACTCAACGCAACGATGTGCACTCGATGCAGAATGAAGAAGAAGTAGTACTCCCGCCACCAGCCCATTGAGCCGAACAAGAACTCGCACGATATGGCCTCATCAGGACCAGCCAATCAGGAATACTCAAGAAGGAGAGTGAAACAAGACGCCCTTCCTTATCTTGGCCTTGAGAGTGGGGGTGAACTGCAACCGGGTAATTCCACTATGCGTCAGTGTGGCCATCGTTCGCCAGCGTGTAATCGGACACCCGAGTGTGACTGCGCTCAGCACGTGAGCCACAGACCGTCGACGATTTGGGTCTTTCACTTGTCCAGACGAGTCAAGACGCAAAAGAAAGCGAGACTGCATTTATACACTCGCAGTCACATCATGAAATATAGCAACCTCACGAAGAATCGAACGTCCGCTCCCGCGTCGTTAGGAGCGCAGAATGCCGCGAACATCCCGCCCGCCTTCGTCTAACAGACGAATGGAAGAGATCATTTTACTTTCCCGCTTGGCCGTTTCTTCTTGATCTTCAGGTTGATTCAAAGCCATTAAGATAAATTAAGTGGTGCCAGACAAGCGACGTGTCGGCGAAGAGTGTTGGTCGCCGTCTTCAGCGTCACAACTCGAACAAGGCCATCTGCACCAGCATGTAGCTCAAGTACACGTCCAAGAGGCCACTTTGCCGGTGGGTAACGGTCGTCCTTAATGAGCACCAATTGACCGATGGCAAAATTAGCAGTCGGACATCGCCATTTGTTCCGCCCTTGTAACAAGAGCACGTACTCGGTTGACCAACGTTTCCAGAACTGGTCACGAATTCGTTGTAGCAGTTGGAAACGGTCGAGTCTATTCTCTGGAGCGGATGGAGAAGCTTCATCAGGGATAACTCCGGAGGCAGCGCCGATCAGAAAATGAGCAGGTGTTAGAGCCTGCAGGTCCTCTGGATCGGCTGTCATCTGGCACAGCGGGCGCGAGTTCAGGCACGCTTCGATCTCGGCCAGCACAGTGGAGAACTCTTCAAAGGAAAGTGTACGTTCTCCGACCAGCTTCTTCAGCAAATGTTTCGTGGATCTTACGCCAGCTTCCCACAATCCACCGTAGTGCGGTGTAGTGGGAGGGATGAATACCCACTCGGTGCCGTCGTTGGCCATGAGGCGTGAAGCTTCTGTATAAAAGCTGGACGCAGCCTTGAACATCCCTCGAAGTTCGGCGTCAGCTCCATGGAACGTCGTAGCATTGTCGCTGAACAGCTTCTTACAGATGCCTCTTCTGCTCACGAAGCGGCGGTATGCCGCGAGGAAGGAGGCAGTCGTCAGATCCCCGACAACTTCTAAATGTAAAGCCTTTGTAGCGAAGCAGACAAAGAGAGCGATATATCCCTTGTACGTTGTTCGTCCTCGGCCTTTCGATGCTCGAAGCTGAAATGGACCAGCGTAATCCAAGCCGGTGTTGGTGAAGGGTCGAGCTGGCGTCACGCGTTCAGCTGGTAGGTCGCCCATAAGCTGATGGGCCAAGCGGGGCGAATGTCGTTGACACTTCACGCACTTGTGAATCGCTGATTTCACCAACGCTCGCATGTTTACAATCCACGCAAATCGCAACAAGATACTTATAGTTAGCGTCGGTCCACCGTGATACGCTCGCTCGTGTGCATGTGAGATGAATAAACGGCTAAGTGTTGAGTCACGAGGCAGTATAGCGGGAAAGTGAAGGTGATGGGGTAATTTCGCATTACCTAAACGACCTCCGACTCGCAAAATACCGTCGATATCTACGAACGGTCGGAGCTTGCAAAGGTGATTACGCTTCGGCAGTGATTTCCGCGCTTGCAATAAACCGATCTCCGATGAAAAAGCGTTCGATTGAGCTAGTTTCACGAGCGCATCACGTGCGTTAGCAAGATCGCTCGTCGTAAGATATGCAGGGTAAGAGCCTTGCGTTGCTCGCTTACGTATTTTCTGCAAGAAGGGGCGTAAACACCACGCTGTTATACGCACGAGTCGGGTGAGGTTCGAGTACCTCGATAAGAGCAATGGTTCATCAAGGGTCTTAATCGAATGCATCGAGCGCATTGGTTTTGGTGACTGGGGCCATTTATCAGATGGAGACATTAGCCATTTCGGACCAGTCCACCATAATTCGTTCGAGCGCAACTCATCGGGCGATGCTCCACGCGTGGCGAGGTCAGCCGGGTTTTGTTTCGTCGGGACGTACGCCCACGTCGCGGAGGGCAACTCAGTTTGAATGAAGGAGACACGGTTGGCTACAAACGTCTTCCAGCTACAAGGGTGTTTTTTAAGCCAAGCGAGTACGATTTGGCTATCGGACCACAACTGCACTGGTACATTTTGAAGAAAGTCTAATTTCTGTAGATGTACCACGAGCTTGACGAGAAGCGTCGCTCCGCACAGTTCGAGATTCGGGATACTGACGGTCTTAACAGGCGTAACTTTAGTTTTCGCGCTTAAAAGAGAAACCTGATAATTTCCGTTGCCATTATCAATGCGCAAATAAGTCACGGCAGCATACGCACGAGAGGAGGCGTCTGAAAACCCATGAATCTCAAACGTTTTCTGTCGTGACAAACCGAGCCACCGATTAATCGTGAGAGTGTGTAGCGTTGAGAGCGATTGACAATAACTCTGCCAGCGACAGCGCACTTCTTCAGTCAAAGGCTCATCCCACTCGCACCTTTCGATCCACAAATCCTGCATAATAACCTTAGCGGTTACCGTAACAGGCGCTAACCAGCCTAGGGGATCGAAAAGTCGTGCGATGTCAGAATAAACCGACCGTTTAGTGAGGGTTTTTTCACGTGTGTTTGAGGCCGACGCGCTAAAACGGAACTCATCGCACGTTGGACTCCAGTGTACACCGAGGGTTTTTACGGCGTTATCGCGGTCGAGTTCTTTGATCGCGACGTTATGGTTTGGCTGAAGGTGCGCGGGCAATAGCTTTGGGTGATTCGCGGCCCATTTGTCTAAATTGATACCGGCTGATGCTAGAATATCAGTCAATTCATCTCGTTTGCGTATAGCCATTGCCAGATCGTCAGCGCCAGCAAACGTATCGTCGACATACGTATCCAACTCAAGACAAGCAGCCCCAAGGGGAAAACGCGTCCTTTCATTCGAGGCTAGTTGAGATAGGGTACGCATTGCGAGATATGGCGCGCAAGCTGTACCGTAAGTGACAGTCCTAAGTCGATAGTCAACAGCAGGCTTTCCTAGTTGGGGAGACCATAAAATGCGTTGGAGATCCTGATCTTCAGGAGCAACTTGAATTTGTCTGAACATTTTCACAATGTCAGCGGTAAACGCATACTTGTACCGACGCCAATTCAGCAAGATCAACGGCAGTTCGCTTTGCAAGGCGGGACCTGGCATTAAAAACTCGTTTAAGCAGTGCTTGTCACGAGTGCGACGCGAAGCGTCAAAAACAACACGTATTTTCGGCTTTTCTGCTGTACCACTGACGACGGCGTGATGCGGGAGATACCAAGCTCGCGGATTTCGGATTTCTGCACGCGGTACAGGTTCCATATGACCCAGCTTCAAATAAATGTCCATGAAATCAGTGTACGCGCGAGCTAAATCGGGTTCACGAGAAAGGCGTCGCAATTGATGTTGAAGCGATCCAAAGGCCATTTTTCACGTCTCATCAGCAACTAACGGAAGATTCGGTCTGACGGGAAGTTTAACCTGAAAACGACCGTCCGCGTTGCGTTTGTGCGTTTCAGCAAAGAGACGTTCGCACATCTCGTCTTGAGGTTTCAGAGTTTTAGACGCGACTGGGACCTCCTCGAATGTCCAGAATCGTTCAATTACGTCGCTTAGATCGTTGTTAACTGCACAACGTAAAACCTTCACAGCAGCGGTATGAGTATTCACCGCCCGCCATGGGGAACTCACTTTCGATGGGCCTGAGATAACCCATCCGAGAGCTGTATTCTGCGCAACTAGCGCTGTGCAAGGGAATGTAGCTAAGCCCGGGCGGAGTAATTGACCGTACAGATCAGCACCAATCAGGATATCGACCTTGTCAGAGACGTGGAAATCGGGATCAGCAAGAGGGAGTGTTGTAAATGGTCCTAAATCTAGCTCTACCATATTTCGCGATGGCAATTCGGACGTTAACTTGGGGAGAATAAAGGCGTTCACTTCGATTTCAAACTGCGCGTCCCAGTTTGATTTCAACGTGAAGCTAGTCGCGTGTTTGACAGAGCCGGCAGTACAGCCTCCTATGCCGGATAAAATAGTCGTTACACGATCGCGCTTGAGCCCAAGAAGCTGAACAAGTGATTCCGAGACGAACGTTGCTTCCGATCCTTGATCCAACAGTACACGGACGCGGCTTTGCCTTTCACAGGGACCTATCACTGTCACTTGTGCCGTCGCAAGGAGGATAAAAAGATCACTCGCGTTCGATTCGCATGCATTAACGTTAAGCGCGATGCCGCCCGCCGTGCGGCCTATGTGTGTTCGCACCTTTGTTGTAGTCCCTTTCGTTTGTACATTCGCGGAGGTTCCCGTTGAATCGCTAGCAAACGCAGAGTGAAGCAAAGTGTGATGGTCTTCGGTCACGCATTTTTTACACTTGTATTTCGATGTGCATGCCGAACGCCGGTGGGGACCGAGACAGTTAAAGCAGAGCTTCGCGTCCCGAACTGCCTGTTTGCGTGCCGGCGGGTCCTTTGCGATGAAGTCAGGGCATCTCGATGTGAAATGGTCCGACGAACAGAAACTGCATTTTGGCGATCTGGCTGGTTGCGCCTTTTGCGCGTGGTGAACCTTGCGCGAGCTAGACGTAACGGTGATGGATGGGACCGCACGCTTGTCATCTTTATCAGCGTGTATAACGGTCAGAGATTGCGCGCGTCTCTCAAGAAAGGCAGCTATATCCTTAAACTTCGGCATACGCGAGAGATAATCGGTTTTCACGCCTTCTTCTGTTGCAAGGGCTAGGCGATCCCTAGCGCTCAGCTCGGTCTCCCATTGCTTACGCGATTCAGGGTCCAATCTAACTTCAATCAAATGAACTAACAACAAATCCCAATGAGCAACAGGAGCTCGAAGGTTAGTGAGCGCGCGTATAATGCGTTGGGCCTCATCAATGAAACTGCGCAAATCTGACGCGGATTCCCTTTTCAAATACGGTAAGTTGATTAACGCGTCAAGCAACGACTTGAAGGTCAGGCGTGGGTTGTGGAATCGATCTCTGAGCGCCTTCCATGTAGACGCGTAATTCACGCCCGTAACTGCGACATCTTTGACTAACGTCGCGGCAGAGTCTCTTAAACACGACTTCAAGTATTGAAGTTTCGTTGTATCAGCGATACCCGGCACTTTGTGTACAAGAACAGTAAATATATCAGCAAAGCTATCCCAGTCCTCGTATTTTCCCGAAAACGTTGGCAGATCGAGCTTGGGAAGCTTTGCTGGGCGATCATCGTGATCTTCATCTTCGCGATCGCGAAGCCGAGGATTCGGTACCTCCTCACTCGTCAAGTTGTTCAATGCGGTCAATAACACATCGAGTGTGTTCTCGTAAGAATCGGCCATCGCGGCATATCGATTTTCAGTGACGTAAGCATTTCCAACTGCGTCAGGACGTAGAACAATGTCCGCGTGTGCCTTCCGCGACTCAGACCAAAGCTCTTGAACGGTATTGATACGCGACTGTAACAATGTTTTGTTGAGCGTTCCAGCAGCTCGCTGACCGATACGAATACCGACACGTGTAATCTCTTCGTCGCGGTGCTCTTGAAGCACGAGGAGCCGAGCTAAGGGGGCCGGCGGCATCTTGAGGTACGAGAATCACGTGATAGAAGGATTGATTCGCTATGCACTGATACACTCGGTGGACCTCGGAGAAAGAATACAAACTAAACTATAATAGCAGCGCAACGAATCAAAATAACTCTCATTCACAATTCACACATTCCTCACCCGGGGCACCATGTTTAATCTGTACGATTAATTAATTGCAATAAAGGAGAGAGGCAAGGGTAAGTTAATTGAAGCAGGTGGATGTGTGAAGTTGTAAATAATGATTATTTTAATAAAAGAAAGATACAGAGAGATGACACTTTAGCCGGCATAAAAAACCCCAGTCGTGAGTGGGGGAAAAGCCATTTAAAACTGCCACTCGTATAATGGATTTATACATATAAAAGAAGCTACTATTTATTGCGCTAATTACATATGGCTCGCGTAGCTTTTAAACAACTAAACGCGAAACTTACATGAATGGCCATTCACTAGATTAAACACTGACCGAGCGATGCCGCATACATGACTCGTGCAAGAAGGAAGACGTCTCCTGGAGAAGCGTAGTGCCAACGTCTTGGTCACGGGCACGGCCCGCACTACGCGACTCCTAGTTTTCGAGGTGGGCCGAGTGCCGCTGATCGGGCTGCCCTGAGTTCGAAGACGTCTCAGAGAGTACCGCACGTACTCTCAACTAGGCCGATGGTTGCCGTAGCCCCTTTTGATGCGGTCGCTGGCGGAAGGGAGAGAAAGATACACACAGGTACCCGCATACAGTCGCTCAAAGCAACGCAATAATAACACTTATACACTAAGGCGCGCGGTATACAACACTATAGAATAATGAAACGCACTCAACGATAGGAACTAACTCAACGCAACGATGTGCACTCGATGCAGAATGAAGAAGAAGTAGTACTCCCGCCACCAGCCCATTGAGCCGAACAAGAACTCGCACGATATGGCCTCATCAGGACCAGCCAATCAGGAATACTCAAGAAGGAGAGTGAAACAAGACGCCCTTCCTTATCTTGGCCTTGAGAGTGGGGGTGAACTGCAACCGGGTAATTCCACTATGCGTCAGTGTGGCCATCGTTCGCCAGCGTGTAATCGGACACCCGAGTGTGACTGCGCTCAGCACGTGAGCCACAGACCGTCGACGATTTGGGTCTTTCACTTGTCCAGACGAGTCAAGACGCAAAAGAAAGCGAGACTGCATTTATACACTCGCAGTCACACCATGAAATATAGCAACCTCACGAAGAATCGAACGTCCGCTCCCGCGTCGTTAGGAGCGCAGAATGCCGCGAACAAAGTCGTTAATTCTTCAATGACTTCAACAAAATTAAAATCAAAAGATCAAGGTTATTCTATGTTCGTAAAGAAAGTTGCTTAAACTATCATCCCATAGAGCATGAATTAATTCTAAAATAATTCAAAATTAATTCACAAAATAATATAATTATTTTAGAATTAATTCAATGAATTAATTCTGTATTAATTTTATGTCCGTTTTTTTCCTTCAGAAATATAACGAATATTATTACTAAATTAACTGAAATAATTTTCAAATATTACATGCATTTTAGAAGAATTATTTTATGAAGTATTAACATGTTATGTGACAGAAATTGAGCAGTGACTAAAACAAAGTCTCGACACATAGTAAAAGCGTCAAGGCCAAGACTTCAGCGATAAACTGCTGAAGTCAGCAGTGCACGTGTGCGCGCTTGTTGAGCCTTTGGGAACGTGTACAAATTACGTAAGGCTCTCGGGGGGGGGGGAGGCTTAAAAATCCTTATGAACCCTTACATTGGGGGATAGTTGAAAATCCACCAGTCTTACGTAAGGTCAGTGACTATATAAGAATTTTATTTCACGCGTTGATTCAAAGTTGACGATTGAAATGCTTTGTATTAAATATGAGCTCAAGCATCGCATACCATGAGTCAGCGCATATTATTTGGAAACAAGGGCATAAGTCGGCGCGACATGTAAAGGTTCCGCGAACTTTGTATATTGACACCAGGTTGAAAAACAGGCCATATCGAAGTTGTTTTTAATACTGATGAGAGTAGGATGCAAAGAATTAATGAGTCAGTTCATAATTTGTGCCTGGCAGCGAGTTCACATCGTAATTCCTATAGTTTTACTGGAAAAAATTCTTATGTTTTATTGCTCTGCATCAAATTTTTTTTCTAATCAAAAGTATTTATACTCTCTTTACAAAAAAAATCTTTTTACGACCAATGTGTTGAACGTTTTGTTTTGTGAAAAATGAGTGATTTCGGTAAAATCTATCATAAATTTTTTAAAGTGTATAGAAAAGCTCACCCCGAAATCAAAGGAGGACAAGCACAAAACAATGTTAATACTGTTTGGAATAATGCGAAGGAAAAATATAAAGATAAAAACGTATTTGCTAATTTTATCAATGATGAAATAAGAAAATGTGAAATATTGATAGCGAAGTCAAAAATTACCAATTATTACCATAGTAAGAATGTAAGTATACAACGTTTAATAATTTCATTCAGCAGCTAGAAGTAATTAATAATGCACAGTTACCGTTAACATTAATCATGTATAGAAACGTTGATTAATTAATACAATACTACTCGAGCTTTTTTTCAAGTACGGTTATAAATGAAGAGAATTCATTGCTTTTTATTTTATATACAGGCAACTCCAAGTACTTCAAAAAATGATACGATAGCTCAAATTGAAAGTACTAGTCAAAATAATATCATAGCTTCGATTGAAAATACTAGTAAAAACAATGCTGCAATAGACAAGATTGAAAATACTAGGAAAAATGATGATTCACTGCAACAAAATATTGATAGGCCCAGTACAAGTTCAGTAGAGGCGGATTGTGA